ATCCTATTTACTCACTATAAAAAGTTCTCACTCAGTCTGTTTCTCTCTCAAGGCCACATTCTTCTCTGCAGGATGTGTTTGTAGACTGTGAGGGACCAAACTTAAAGGACAAAAGGTGTTCAAAAATTGAAAGTGCTTCATTTAATTGTGTCAAAAATGGTTAAGGCTCAAAAGCAATACAAAATAACATGGATCTGGGCCCAACTTAACTGAGGTCAACTGAGGATCCAACAAAAAAAAAAACAAACAAAAAAAAAAAACAACTGACCTCCAAACAAAGAACTAAAGGCTTCTTAAAAAGGGATGGAGTAACCCAAGTCTACCACATGAGGGAGGCACAACATAACAAAAGAACCAATAAATACAAAAAAATTTACCAGTCTATGAAACAAATAAAGCAAAACTAACTTTTACTTAGAAACAATGAGTATTTAAGTGACAAACTAATTGAAAACTTGAAACAAGTCTCCTCCGTCAGTCTTTCAAAAATGGTACGCTCCAGGTTTCCTCCTCCAGCTGGTTTGCATCAGCAGCACCTCAAACAAAAGAACAAGTGTAAATAAACCATTCAGACAGACATTAAAGTGTGCATCCATTAGAAAATACCTGTCTAAAAAAAAAAAAAAGACACAACTTAAAGATGAATTGTAATATAATATAAAGCAAGAAAAGAAAATACTAACACGATGTGGTGGTGGGAGGATCATCCACCACACACTTCCCCTCCTCTGAAGGCTCACTGACACAGCAGGACAAGTAGTCAGCAGTTATGTTCTGTCTGCCAGGGATATGATGCACTTCAAACTTGTAGGGCTGCATGGCAAGGTACCACCGAGTTATTCTAAGTTGCCGAAGTTTTCTGACATGGAAATGGAGTCTGTGAAGCAGGCTTGTCAGGTTGCGTGTCATCTTTGCAGTGATTTTGCTGTGTCTAGACAAGAAGCATACTTAAAGTGCAGCGAGGCATTTCATAAAGTGTTCCAACTGTTGGATAAAAAAAAGAGCGGCAGAGGTATGAAGTGAAAGGCCCAGTCAGTTCTTCGCCATTGGCAAGCAGAAGCCATTCTTTCAAAAGTGATGAGAAAATGTTCAATGTCATCATCTTCACTAAGTTTTTGTAAATTAGGGGTCTTAGAAACCTGAGAATGTGCATAGAGAAGTTCACCTGATACACCATGTTGCTGTGAAGCTGCTATTCCAGGGTCTGGTAGTTGTGTAGGCCAAAGTGGGGGAGGGGTCTGTTGTTGAGTCTCCCTTTTAAGCAAGCTGAACTGTTTTTCCAGTTCCTCAAATTTCTGGTCTTGTTTTGCAGCTTCTCGCATCCAGTAGTCCTCCTTGGCTTTTTGTTGTCCAATATGGGCTCTGAGAAGATTAGCCAAGTCGGTTAATGTTGGTTCACTCCCCTCTTCTTTGTCACATACTCCACGAACAGCTCCATTTTCCTCAGCAGTCTCTTTTTCATCTGGCTCAGAACTTGGTCCTCTTGTTCTTCCTCTTCCCCTTCCAGGCATTTCTGGCAACTGTTCCTCTCAGAGAAGGTGGACAGAGATAAAAAAACAACAACAAAGTTGTCAATTCAAAAATTTATAGAGGTAAGGGGAAGAACAAAAAAAAAACTACACCAATGTCCTTAACTGATTGGATCCCACTTCTGACACCAGCTGGGAGGGACCAAACTTAAATAAGGACAAAAGGTGTTAAAAAATTGAAAAAGTGCTTCATTTAATTGTGTCAAAAATGGTTAACAAAGGCTCAAAAGCAATACAAAATAACTTAAATACAAAAAAAACATGGATCTGGGCCCAACTTAACTGAGGATCCAACTCAAACAAGAAAAAAACTGACCACCAAACAAAGAACTAAAGGCTGCTTAAAAAGGGATGGAGTAACCCAAGTCTACCGAATGAGGGAGGCACAACATAACAAAAGAACCAATAAATACAAAAAAAATAACCAGTCTATGAAACAAATAAAGCAAAACTAACTTTTACTTAGCAGAAACAATAAGTGAGTATTTAAGTGACAAACTAATTGAAAACAACTTGAAACAAGTCTCCCCCGTCAGTCTTTCAAAAATGGTACGCTCCAGGTTTCCTCCTCCAGCTGGTTTGCATCAGCAGCGCCTCAAACAACAAGTGTAAATAAACCATTCAGACATTAACTAAAGAATAACAAGAAGTAGTATATAAAGTTATATGCAAGCTAGGTAATATAAGTAGGTGTGTATGTGTGAATGTATGTTTAATCCGAAGTTATTGTAGGGATTAGGTATGAAGTGAAAGTATATAGATCATCACGAACCACACTCCATACCAGTAAGTGGCGGTAATGCTACTAAAAGTTTGTTGCAAACCGCCAATAAAAACCAAGAAGAAGAAGAAGAAGAAGAAGAAGAAGAAGAAGACGACATTAACTAAAGTGTGCACCCATTAGAAAACACCTGTCTAAAAGAAATAACCAACTTAAACATGAATTGTAATATTATATAAAGCAAGAAAAGAACATACTAACACGATGTGGTGGTGGGAGGACCACATAGACCACACATAGCTTCTTCCCATAACAAATCAGATTCCTTCTCAAGGTTTATTCATAACATGTTACTGTTTAACCAAAGTGTTTGTTATTTGTTTTGACTCTGTCTACTTTCCATTGTTGTAAGTAAGGGGGAATGAACACTGCCTAGATCAGAAAAGAGCAGAATGCCGTGCCATTAAGACTGTATGATCAACAGTTCTCTCTTTGCAAAGAAATGAATAAATGTGCCGACTGAGTGAAATCCATCCATCTCCGTTTATTTAACTAGGGTGAATAGTTGAATACTTTTTTCCCACGACAAATGTTACCAGTGGAATTTTATGCATTCTGAATTATTACCCCCACTTAAGGTCCACCGGGTTTTAAGAGGTTAAAAAGGTTAGAGGGTGGGGTTTTGGGGGTGGGGGGAGTCTTTCTTACTGAGAAGAAAAGTTTTGGAACCCCTGGCTTTAGAGCAATCAACTTTTATTATGCACTGAATATCCACAAATTTTTTTCACGGTTGTATATCTGTTCTTTTTATTTACTCAAATGTATGACACAATCTCCAAGTGTTGTTTTTTTTAAACAGCCATGTACAATAATACAAAAAATTCCACATGGAAATGGTTCCACTTGGCTTCAAAGGGCCGTGATTGGACTGCAGAGAGCCTCGACCTGAAACCTTTCCAACACGAGTAAAGTGAAAATATAAGCCCGGCTTTCTATGTCTGACCCCACCTAACTAATGCTTTCATGGCAGACAGAAACAAATCCTCTCAGCCAAGTTACAAAAGCAGCAAATTAATACCTCTGCTTTTGGAATGGAGTCGCTTCCTATTGTCAAGTGACAATTGCACTGCTTTCATAGTCACTTAACAGAACCAGACCTACTTCATAAATATATAGATGCACAAAATCATTTTTGCAGTCAACATCACTTTCCCTCATGGTATGTTTATTTCAATGGTGTGTCACAGAAACTGTGGTTATGAAAAAATAAAGTTCAATGTTTTTTTTAACACCAACAACTTTTATTTTATCTGTACACTTATTTCTCTTCCTTATTGGCTACCCTTATACATATGACAGGTTTTGATTATTTCATTTTGTGGTAGTTATACAGGAGTAACATTGATGGGTTTCAAAAAGAAAACTTTTTTTCCTGTTTTACTTCTGATAGTGTTGAAAAAATATTATTAGGACAAATCCTAATTCAGTTCAAATTTTATTTTAGTGACTGAAGCTGAAATACATTTTCTTTTAACATAGCTTTGATAAAAAGTTGAAAATGTTTTTAAATTAAACCATATATATATAATTGCTGTCCAAAGAATTTCAAAAAAGCAAATATAACTAGACAGAATTTCTGTGTGGCTGGTTTCTAACCTATAGGTTCCTATTTTGCTTGGTCTGAATAAGGGTTGACAAAAAGCTAATTTCATGTAAACATGCCATTGAGGTGTGGCATATATCTGCCGATCTTTGTTTGCTAATCATGAATGACCAAAGCTTATCTTGTTGCAACACAATGATTAGGATGGGCATCATCTTCATAGCCACAAAAGATGTAGAAACATCAACGGAAAAGCCTGGACCAAAGGTTTACCAGAATAGATGATACTGTAAGTGATTTAGATAAAAAAATATTTATTTTAATTGGTAGATTTAATCAATTTTTAAATTAAATATTGATACAATTGATTAGGATTTAAATGAATTAGGATTTATAACATGAGAATATTTCAAATAATTTTTATACATTTTTAGCTGGTGTTCCAGTTATTCCATTAACAATGTAAAGGGAACCCACATATTGTAGATAATAATAATAATAAAAACAACTCTTGATCATAAAAAGAGCTCCTAAGATTTCCGTCTTTATTTGCACAGAAAAACGGCAAGAAAGATGCAAGAAAGTTTGATTTAATGCACAAGTTCCTGGATGTTCTTCCAAAAACAACAAAAACAGTAATTACTATGAGATGAAGGAATAATTCTAAATTCAACAAAATAGATGGAAAACTAACAGAGATTAAGGTCATTCGAACTTGACACAAAGCAGCTGCTATACTGGCTAAAACATTGTTTATAGACTGAGATGTCATTTAAAATGTATTCAGGCTTCAGTGTGGGGGAAATGGCAGAAGTATTATTAACAACTGGTTCAGACTTTATCAAACACTTTTCAAAAGACTATCCAGTTGTTGCTATTTTATAGCAAAAACCCAATGAATTACATAAAACTCTACAAAACAGTCAAGAAGCAGAATAGACAAAATGTTAAAGACAATAGGCTAATAAGATAGCATACTCTGTGTCAAATCTATCTATACATATATATATTAAAACATATGCCTAAAACCAAAACAATGACTCATTCAAAATAAACAAAAAATTAAAACCAAAAGAGAAATTACTTTTTACAACATGCATATCATTGCACAATTGCCTTAAATTGAAAACTATTCAAATTAAAATATATTCATGTTTGTTTTAGTTGTCACACCTTTAATAAATGCTGGCATCAGCTCAGGAGTTGATAAGGGTATCCTTGTTTTTATTAATTGTCAGGTTGCTGCTCCTCTCATTATCAGGATCCGTGGGGTCTTTTCCATTTTGATATTTGAAGCCAAATAGATTGCAGAGTTTGGTCAGAAGGAGGTCAACAATCTCTTCATCTTCAGAAGGCTGGACCAAGAAAGAAAAAAGAAGCAAACAAAACCACTTTTAGAAGAATACAGAAAACTTGAAATACAGAAATAATACATTTCCTGGCCTGAACCAACTGTATGCATTGGTTTCAGCGCAGCACCCTGGGAAAAGTTGACATTTCTCTTTAAAATTGGACTAATTGGAGATACATTTTCATTCTCTATTGAACCAAAACAACCATGTTGTCAATAAATTATTGAATTTTTCTTCAAAAGATACTTGTACATTATACACATAATGTGGATAAGCCTCAAACATACGCTGTGATGCAAGACAATTTTTCTAGCTGAAGAACACATCAGTTCCTATTGATCAATATACCATTTGGACACATTCATAAGTGTAACCTTTGTTTAAATGCTTTTAAAATTGTTTTTCAATTCTGCTTATTCCCAAGTAGGAAAGTCATAGTATTTGCAACAAAATCTGTAAGACTTCCAAATAAAATAAGCCAATGCTGAGCCTTTGGACTTATCATTCATGAGATGTAAATCTTGATTCAAATTCACCCCTTTAAACAGTTAAGGTTATATAACTTGGAGCTTTTGCCACTGCTATATTTCAGCATGATGTTTGACTGTTGATAATTATGCCCATTTTTTCATGATCTCTGCCTTCAGGATTAGGTTACGTTTTTAGAGAGCCAGGACTGTCTAGACAGCTACAATTATGTAGGAAAAAACACTTTACACAACAACTTTAATATAGTGCTTCGCCACTACCAGCAAACTAAATCACAGATCTACTTATATTATGAAGGGAGATTTCTGTGGTTCAATAACATTACGCAAAACCAACATTTAGATAAGATCAATTAAATAGAAAATATCAAACAAAAGTTAACAGTTCTTGATTTGAAAGTCAAGAAAATACTAATACTAAGGCATTGACATACTTTTGAGTACTAAGATATAATTTTAGTACACGGATTTGTGTATGCAAATAAAAGCTTTAGTTAAAGCATTCAAATGAGAAAAAAACAGGATTATCTTGCTAAAATGCTGGGTTACTCTTGAAGCATGGAACACAGTGTTTGCAGCTACGTGGTTGTTCCCTCCAACCTAATATTTTGGCATACTTTAGGGTTGCAAGCTTACAAAATCACACGTGCAGAAGTATAAAACGCTGTTGATTCCAAAATTGTCATTGTTTCTTTATGTCACCCCAGAGGGACAGTAACAGGGGGCTCAGAATCTGTTGTTCATGGTGATATTGGGCCAAATGATGCCTATAATAGTTTATATTTACGAACCGTCATCAGTAGGAGCTGTCATTCTTCTTTCATGTTTCTATCTTCAAATGGGAAAACAGTTTAAAAATAATTTGAGTAGTCTAATTTTTGGTTTAAATGGACCTGTTTCCAGTGTTAACTGCAGTTTTTTCCTCTTATAGTGTACAAAATGCAGTTAAGTTGGTGAACTAGTTTTCTTATTGCTACTTTCATTGTTAGATTAGGCAGCAATCAGACTTGGAACTTGCTGCAGCTCTGAGGTTTTGCTATTGACTTTGCTTTTCACTTGAGTATAACTAATGAACCCAAATACTTTTTATAAAAGATGAATGCAGCCAAAGAGTGCTGTTGGGAAAACAATAATTGTTTCTTTTGGTCTTTCTGCAGGTCTATTTGTGCAAAACTTATTACATTAGCCACTCTTGAGTATGACATGGAAAATAAATTTATGTTTCTAGCAACACTAACTCACTGAAAAAGACTAAGGAGTGTTTTTTTTTTTGTTCAGCTTTTTTCAAATAACAGCATCACAGCATTTTGTGTTTAAAAGTTTCTTCCAGGATAATGCAAGCTTTTCATTTCTAACGGATGCATAGAGATATTTTACCCACAATTTTTCATGTTCTTGAGCATTGATATATATATGTACACAATATAAACCTTGAATTTTACAAATGCTATTACTCCTGTACTATGAAACAACTATATGAAAAATAGATTTTTGTGTTTAAAAAATAAAAAAAATATGTATTATTGTAAAGCTTCTTCATTAAAGTGGTCATATGTCTAAAAATGTCATTGAAAAACATTTTAAATTAACTGTTGCCTCTTTAAATGGTAGGTAATTTTCACTATTAACTTATTTTTATTCACCACAATGTTTTACTTTATTACATTGTTTGAAAGTCTTACTTTTCTGAACAAATAAGATGCTTTCGGCTTGAGGATTTCTAACAAAATTATTCTTCCTTATCTATGGGCAAGTAAAGGTTAATGGAAAATCAAATCAGATCAGCTTTTCTGTGGTAGAAAGAGTTTTAAATGAAAAATTAGATACATCTTTGTATTTTGAAAAACTGAAAAGAAATAACTCTTTCAAGGAAACAATGCGGTGTTGAAATCTTAACCAGGAGTTGATTTTTAAAGCATATACAGTACATGCAATCTTAACATTAATTGAGAATTTAATCAAAATCTTGTCTTTTCCACAATTTATGATGAACAATGTTTCCATAGAGACATTGGTAAGGTAAAGCTGCAAGAATGCCCCGCCTTTCACCCAGAAAATTGCTCTAATCAGTTTAAAAGAACATTTCGGGCTTTTCAAGGGTTGTATTGCAAAAACAATTAACACAGGACTCTGTAGCTTGTTTTCTACAGATGACATCTGATTTTTATCTGTCTTGTTTTGGTCCTGGTTAATCTCAGTTTTTATTATTTTTTGCTCTGCACTTTTTCTGATTTTTTTTAAATGTATTTGCAGGATTTTCTGTTGTAATGGGGAGAGCTTCTGTTGTAAAAGTAATGTGTGGAGTAACAAGTCTTCCAAAATTCTTTGTGTTATAGGTGTTAACATGGTCCAATGAGCAGTGTATGTACTGTATAAACATTCAAAGATGCATGTTTGTGATGGAATAGGCCATATATTCCTTTGATTGGCCCTGATTTCTATTAGTTAGTTGGTAATTTAAAAAATAACTCCCTTCCCATTAAGTAGATTCACTATACCTAACTTCCTACAGATGGCACTAAAACTTGTTCTCTGGTTACAAATTACAGCAACACTGTAGGCATTTTAGATTACATTGCCTACCATTTACATGTCTTATTCAATGACAATATTATTTCTTTTTACAATCTTTTAAGTCTAACCTGGCCACTTCATAGCTAGTTGAAAGTAAATGTTTGTAAATCAATCTTACCTTATGGTTTATTTGCTCCATGTTCAACGATACAAGAATAACTGAAACGAAGAGATTTAGAATCACAAAAGTCATTAGGACAATGCAGGAACCGAACAGCAATCCTCCAAGCACAGGGTGACTCTCCAAAATCTGGGAAATAATGAAAGCGGGAAGAAACCAGAGTTAAATATGCCCATTCTTTATAAGGAGAGAAAAAAGTGGGAATTTTGTTTAAAAAATGCTATTTATCCTAAATTGTAAAAAAAAAAAAAAAATGTAAACAGATATGATGAAAATAAATTGTGTTTGCTGATCTTTTATATGTGTTTAAATATTCTATTGCTAATGGTCACATTTCAGGGGTTGCATAGGTGTGGGAAGGCCATTTATGAAGAATCTTTCTATGAAAGAAGTGTTTGTGTTAAACTGCCCATCAATGCATTTATACGCACAAAAAGTACAAAGTTGTGCTGAGTTGACTGAAGAGCAACATAATGGCTCCTTGAAAACAGGTTAAGACAAACATGTTTAAATGATGTACCTTTGCCCTGTGCTACCATGCTAAGCTACTATGAATTTAGTTTAACCCAGAGGCAAAAGAATGATCCATCAAGAGCATTCAAAGTACAGTCAAGAAACCAGAAACTGTGAAATCAACAGAAAACTATAAAATAATAAAATAATTCACCTCATTATAGTTAAATATGCCGATCTGCAGCCTGATGATGGTCAAAAGAGAATCTATAAAGGTTTTGTAGGATGAAATCTTCCAGCCATAAATCACATTGCTCTGTAAAAGATCAAAACCGTAAAATGAAAACATGAACCACTAAAGTTATTTCTTATAGTGACAAATTCATCAAAAAGGAATCATTAAATTTTTCCCTCCAAAACTAAGCATTGCTTATCTTTAATCATCATTAATCATCTTTAATCATACAGTACAAAGAAGTCTCAGACAAAAACTGACATAAACAGCAAAAGTTTGAACTATTACTTGTAGTTTTCATACAGTGTGACTAAATAGTTAATGATTTTTGAAATTATGTCTTTTAATATTGAAGTAAGAACTAAACCTGAAATAGCAAATCTGCCTCATGTCATTAGTGAGTTTATACTGAATTAAGGCCTATGGTTTCCAGGATCCAAAGATTGTTTGAATGTCTTCGATTCAAACCAGATTTGGAAAATGATATTTTGGTGTGAAGGAAAAAAATTATTCTTTACCTACACATGTATTTTTCCCTTCTGCCTTATTATGCATGACTGACAAAGGTACATTCAGCACTTTTCAATATTAATATATGGGGTTTCTGTACATCAACCATCCTTTTCTTGTTGTCAAGGGCAAAAAAAATATATTATCAATGTTTTCATTCGCTTATCAAACATAAGGATGCAGGCCTAGGAAATTTTATGTACAGATGCTGCAAAACACAAAGTGTGTTATTGTAAATGATTCATAACATGTTTTGTTTACCTCTCTTGGCAAGTACATTAAAAAGAATCATGGCAAAAAAAACAAACAAATTAAATCCACAATCTTTGGATTTTGTATTCAATACTCCTAGTTGACGGAACTACATGTCGAAAGCATTAAGTTTTGTATGAGTCTGGCTGCCAGTTTTGAGAAATCTATAGAATCTATAAAATTCACTGTTGTTTTTGGCAGAATATTAATGCAGTGGTGAAGATGGGTTCTATTAATTTCAGTAAGAGTACAAAAATAAGCATATTTGTTTAGTAACAAAAGACTTTTGTATTGAGCAAAACTCTTTCAAACTATTCTAAAATAAACTTGCATAAATATAGTAACTTTCAATTCAATGTTTTCCTTTTTAGTGTTCATTTGGATGAAGAAAGTTTTGAAAAATGGGCTGAATTTTTGCTGTTGCTCACAGAACTATAATTATATTCCAACTGTTGTGAGGCTATATAATTAGACAAGAGGGATGTTTGCAAAGATGAAAATCCCGATAAAGGAGCAAATACTCACTGCAACTGAATATGCCACTAACGCGATCACAATGATCAGTAGAAAACTTGATATGTCATTCCATGCTCGACGCAGGGCAGCCGTGATCAGGTTCATCTTGGGGTTTAGTCGGAGAAGGTGCCACAGTTTGACAGTGGATAGAAGGACAATGAAGGCAATCAGATACTGAAGCGTTGAATCAGCTATAGCTGTCTCATAAAAACTGGCAAATCTGCAAAAACAGAAAAGTTGGAGTTATTAAGCTGAATTCCCTTGAATGTAGAAGAAAATACTTTATGATTAGATATAAAGCTAACTGTATAAAACTGATCTTAAAGCACTATTAGCTTTACAAACTCACACCAGATGTTCAAAATGCAGTTAAGTTGTGAATTAGTGTTCTTATTGCTACTTTCATTGTTAGATTTGGCAGCAATCAGACTTGGAAGTTCCTGCAGCTCTGAGGTTTTGCTATATTACCCCCCCTTGCCAAAAAAAATAAATACAAAAATACAATAAAATATAATAAGTTTGTATTGTATGTTATTCTCACTGGTCTTTGTGGTTTTGGTAGTAAGTCAAATCGCGGTTTCCGAGCAAGGTCCTTTGAATGAACACTCCCACAGCACTCCAGCTTAGCAGGATGATACTCAGCTCCAGAAGGTTCCACTTGTTCTTGAAATAAACCCACCGCTGTTGCTTCAATAATTTGGCCTGTTGGAGTGAATAAACATGAGAATAATTTACCATAAGTAATCACACAACATCAGCAATGGATTTATTTATTTATTTTAATTAGACCAAAAATGTAATGAAACCATTGAACCTTTCCCTGCTGCAATAAATGATATTGGAAAATTGCAGGAAATCTTGATTAGAATATAATAAAAGCCTAGGAGCATCTTCTAAATGCTTACATATTTTAAAATAAAAAAATGATCTAGAGCTCTTGTGGTGTGTAGAAATATAGCAAAGCAAATAGTATTTGTTACAGGGGTTTTCAAATGTATGGGCCTATTAAAGATTCCCACATTCTGCCATGCTGCAACCACAAACCTCAAGGTCTTTAATTAGGTTTGTGTGTGATAGGCCAACATAAGGGTGTGCAGGTAACAATCTGACATGTGTAGAGAGGGTTTGTATTAATTGTAGTCAACAAAAACAAAAAAGTAATAGTTTCAAATTAATGCTTTTTAAATTCACCCAAAAGTTAAAGAAAGTCCATACATTTATTTCATATCATAAGCCTAGTTACACTTGTTATTATACCACCGGCACCAATTTATGTTTCTGCTGGTGGGTTGCTTCCACCTTGCTCACATGACTTGTCACCATCTGACACGAAAATACATTCATCTTACATGAAAGCCTGCATTAGACCAAGTAACAGGAGAAGGAAACACATATACTCTTTTTTGCATGCATACAACCCCACCCCCACACAAACTACTCTCTGTCACAAACATACACATTCTGCACACTGTTAATGCAAATAAGTAGTGAATGTAAATATAATCTAATGCAAAAGGCTCTGACACAGATTAAGGGAAAACAAAATTCAAAGCCTGAGACCACAGAATTGAAAAGCATATGCAAACTTTATAGGCCTATACTGTAAGGGTGGAAAGAAATGTACACTGTACAAAAAGTTTGTATAGGTCAAAATGAACATTGGTGCACTAGCAATCAATTGGCTTTACCTCCTACATTAGCTTTTTACTTTGAGGCAATAGATTGCAAAGAGGCTGTTTTCACAGTCCAGTGCATCCATGTGTCTTTGTCTGTTTTAAATGTTATCATTGAATCCAAATTTCAAAATGCTGCTCCAAAATCCTTGTCTGCACTTATGTCCTGCAGGACTTAATAATAACAATCCCCAACACACAAAGGGTTTGGTCATAACACAAAATCCTTTGCTCTGTTTAGGAAAACTACACTGCACAGGCTCTATGGTGTGGTGATGAAATGTGAATTGGAAGTGGTATACTTTCTTTGAGACCCTGTTTTCCTTGGTCTTCATGAAAGAGTTCACCTTCTCGCCTCTCCGGAACCAAAAAATGAATTGATTCCTCACCATAATTAATATAATGTTGTTGACAGAAAGAACGAGATCCCGGATACAAGCGGCTGAAATGAGCTTTCTCCGCAGGGTGGCTGGGCGCTCCCTTAGAGATAGAGTGAGGAGCTCGGTCATTCGGGAGAGGCTCAGAGTAGAGCCGGTTCTCCTCCACATTGAGAGGAGTCATTTGAGGTGGCTCGGACATCTTCTTCGGATGCCCCCTGGACGCCTCCCTCGGGTGGTGTTCCAGGCACGTCCCACCGGGAGGAGGCCCAGGGGACGACCCAGGACACGCTGGAGAGACTATGTCTCTCGGCTGGCCTGGGAGCGCCTAGGGCTTCCCCCAACAGAGCTGGAGGAGGTGTCTGCGGAGAGGGAAGTCTGGGAGTCTCTGCTTAGTCTGCTGCCCCCGTGACCCGGTTCCGGATAAAGCGGGAGACGATGAGTACGAGTACGAGTAGTGTTTAACCCTGACTGTTTATAGCTGTTATCGTAAACCAAATTTAAATACAATGTATTGAAGTAGGATCAAATGAAGGTAGGTAACTGAAATTTAATTTGTTTATACAATTAGATTGTATTTTTAAGTATCTATATCACATTTTTTGGTCAGTGAAAGTTGTGAATTGGTGCCATGTGATTAAACTAAATCAACTTGAATTTCCTCAGAGCTACAGTACCTACAGGATAGACAACAAAAGTACTTATACAATAATGGAGCAATCATAAACATACAGACAAAGCAGCATTGGGGTAGTTTAAATTAGGGTTAGTTAGAAGGGTCCACTTAAACCCAATTAAATAGCAAGACCAAATCCTTTCTATGATTTTTTTTTTTCCTAAGTAAACTAACTGAACTAAGTTGTGTTGATCTATGAGATCAAACCCAGTAAAATGCATGGACATTCACAATTAAAACCATATTAGATACTAAGGGTTAATAATGTCTTTGCAATGTGTTGCACATGAGAAAAGATTTTTTTTTTTTACCTTTAGAAATATTCCTTATCCGGAAACCTTTACTCAGTTTTTTTTTTTCTAATAATATAATTTTTAATAATACAAGTATTTTTTCTTTGTAATACAATATAAAGGTCTTAAGATACCGTAAAAGACACATTATACCATCTTATTGTAAGTTAAATTACAGTTAATGGTGACACCATGGGAGTAAAAAAGACCTTTAGAGGTTAAAGAACATCATCATTAAGTTATGAAATGGTGCAGCATAAAAACACGTGTAACTTAATTACAAATAAGGAAGATTGTTGCTATTAAAGCCAGAAAAAAACTTCTAGAGTGCAGACTCCTTTTCTGATGTAAAAATAGCTCCTGTATAGCCATATGTTGGATTTACATAGGAAATTATTATTATTTTTTTTATTGAAGTCAGTCACAGAGCTAAGGAAGTTCCCGTAAGACCTATTCAGCAAAAACACAAATAGTGAAGTATGCATTACTGCTATTAGCGAACCACTTTTCTACCGGAAAACTATGTATTTTTCCTATTTACTTTTCTTATTTACAATTAACTTCTGTTCTCATGGTAATGAAAAGTTTCTTTTTTTTATTAGCTGGTACAGAATTCCAAATATAATATCAATATGCCTTCAATAAAACACTGTGTCAGTAATTAATCTTATTATTAAACTAATCTATAAGAAATATTTTTATTCAGTGATTACAGTAATATTCAGTAAATAAAGAAGTCATATTTTTTCATGATGTTCTTCATACTAAGATGGATCTGTACTATGACTTCAGTCTATCTCCATGACTCATCTAAATTAGTCCATATCTGAAGGGCAGGTAACAATTTTAAAGTTTTAAACTGGAACTATGACAAACACGGCTTAAAGTGGAAACATACTTATCTAGTCACCCTGCACAGCAAAGAGGTTGGTAAGGGGGTAAAAAATGTCTCTTCTAAAGAGCAAAGAGACACAGCAAAGATGACATCATGTAGTCTCACATGATTCTTAGCAGTAAATGATTTAAGATTGCCCTTTCATCTTCCTGATGAACCACTGTATAAAAGTATTGGATGAATTTTCTACATAAAAGATAAAAATAAATACATAAAAAAATACAGGGACATGTTGAATATTATTTATCAATCCATGTTCTGCAGCTTATCTGCCAGTTTCACTGTGGGGCTGGTGCCTATCTCTAGCAGTCTATAGGCCAAAGGCGGGGTACACCCTGGACAAGTTACAAGTCTGTCGCAGGGCAGCAGAGAGACACACAAAGACATATAGCCATGCACACACAATCACCCCTAAGGGCAATTGAACCTGGAACCTTCTTTCAGCCCTGATAAATGTCATCCAACCATGAACATTATATTATTATTATTATTATTATTATTATTATACAGAATTCATTCTTTAATTATTCAGAGTTGATTTCTGTATCAGAAATGTAAGGCTTTTTAGTATATGTTGATGAGTTGTAAAGTTTGTACAGAGTTTAAAAAAGTGTAAGACTACAATAAAATATAGCCACAGATTTCTATTTATACATGCACTTTTTCTTGAATTTAGATTGAATTCCTAAGATCCAAGGGGAATAATATCTCACAGAGAAACTACATGATGATAACTCCAGTCAAATTAGGGATTTAGTGAAACAATAAATCTTTGGACAGTTTATCCTTAAATGTTATTCATGTTTATGTGGGCACAAAGAAAAGACAGACCATAAAAATTGCTTGTAAAAAGTGCTTACCTGCTTGAACATGTAATAGAGAATGAAAAGCATGTAAATTATCTCAGCAGCCATAACAAAGAAGTAAAGTCCCCCTGTTGACGGGTAGAGACGAATAGTCTGCAGATCAGTGTAGAACTGAAATGCTCCTGCAAAATGAAAGACATGATTCAGTCAATGCAGATGAAAGCATAATTTTTCAGAGAAAGGTAAAAAAAAAGGTAGCATTTTTCCACAAAATGATGTTTATCATAGCTGCAGATGGACTCTGACAGCAGTCTTTAAAAGGAGTGCTCTTTACCAACTGCTGAGGTCTCCATCAAGAGTGTGATGATGCAGAAGAGGTTTACATTTGCATTGTAAACGGTGAACTCAACAAAGATTGCCCTTGTGTACTTATCAAGCCATTTATTGCGGAAAAGATACTCAAGCGTTCTGTAGACAAAGGAGATAAAATTTAAAGTGCTGTCTGTTTATGTTCCTTTTTTATCTAAAATGGTAAAGTTAAGTTTAAAAGCAAAGTTTCACCCTCAACATTTGCATTATAAATATGACAATAGAAACTATATTTGGATATGTACGCACCTGCTGGCATTTTGAAACATTGGGCCAAGCTCAGCCACAAAGCCCCCTCCTCTATAGAGCACCAGTCTCCCCCAGAAAGGTCTAGCCCTGAGCTGGGCTTCAGTCTGGTACATCCATGGAGACAAGGCACTTGTTGAAATATTATCCTTAACAGAGTGATTCCAGCCAGATCCGTAAGACCCCACATCCTCTATCTCAGATGAATATAGGGCATCACAGTCTGGCACTAATCCAATCATGAGACTTGCAATCTGACACGAGTTCTGCTGAACTCTTAATTGACGAAGACGGGCATTTCCTACGAGCTTGGAGTTTCCATCTGTGATAAATCCTGAAGGAAAAGAATTTAAAGTTACACTGCTACTGAAAAATGTATCAATCGATATCATTTTAATTCATTTTCTACATGGTGCATTGCCTCAATTTTTTAATAACTTGTCCTTTTGATCTTATGTCGTTTAATTGCTTTTATTTTTAGTTGCATTTAGATCTTCACAATAAATATATTAAATTTTAAACCGTCCAGATTAGTACTATTTCCTGAAATGTTACATTCTTCAAGTGAAAAAAATAGGTTTGGTTTTGCTACCATTTTTTCTAAGATGAATTAAAAAATCTAAAACTTTTTCCACATACCGGTACACAGTATAACCATTTTCCTAAATAAATTTTCAAAAACCAGCCTAAATTTGTGATAGTGAGCACTTCCCCTTTGCTGAGATAATCCATCCCACCTCACAGGTATGCCATATCAAGATGCTCATTAGACTCCATGATTCGTGCAAAGTGTGCCTTAAACTGCCCACAATATAAGGTGAAGTGTCACTTTCACAGATTTAGACTGGTTCGTGATAAATATTTGAGGAAAATTGTTATATTGTGTATGTGGAAAAAGTTTTAGATCTTTGAGTTCATCTCATAAAAAATGGGAGTAAAACCAAAAATGTTGCATTTATTTTTCATTGAGTGTAGTAATGGCTTGTGTTAGAAAATATAAATGATGATAATATGACACTGTTTTTTGTTTATTTGATCACTGTTGCACTTTATGGAATGGAAATTTTCATTTACTGTCTGGAAAGCTGTACTCAATGAAATTTCATTTTGTATACACTGTGTATACAAAATGACAATAAAAGTTGTCAAAGTCTAAGTCGGATGATAACTTTTACTTTTTTTTGTAGAGAGGAGAATAAGTATTACCCAATGTTTTTATTTACATTCCCAATAATCATACGACAACAAACCATAATAACAACCTTCATTTAAAAAATACTTTCTGGTATTATAATAATTTTCTAAATTAAAGGCTGACATTTACTGGACAGCATGAACGGTTTTAAAATTTATTAACCATGATTTGATACAAAGCTATACAAATTTACCTTAGCAATTTGTCTTACTCAATAAGGTGTTTGTTCTTTTATTGAAGTCAGATTTTGCTCAGCAAGTCTGTCCTCAGCTGTGTTCAGTAGGAGATATACCAGCATGTGAGTAATTTAAGGTTCCTACCTGGGTACGACCCAAAAAGGTTTTTCAGTAAAGTGGTGTTAGCCCATGTAAACACATCCTGGAGAGTCATGCTGTTCTGGACACCTTTACTGAAGCTATTTCTAATGTGTCGTTTCAGCAAAAAAGCATTGCCATCTTTCTGACCGTAGGCCACCAGCAGTAGCATCCACATGAAACCTATGTAAACTGGAAGACAAAATTTTAGAAACCATTTTATTTCTTAGAAGTTCTGGAACCAACTAAATTTGAATTATTTTATTATTATATATATCTGATCCAGAAGAAGGGCAGAGAGAGGAAATAGCCAAGTGCAGGATACCAAACCAGAGACATATATATTATTATCCATGTATTGTAAACCAGTCCAGAACACAGCCAAAGGGTGCCTTTTTCAAGGTTTAATACTTTCAAAGAAAACCTCCAGCATCTCTCCAAATATACACGCAAACAAACATACCAAAAATTTCAGTAAGCAAAGCAAATGCCTTCTGTTCCATGATCTTGTTCCTCTTCATTCTCGCAATGTCTGCAGGAGGAGGTGGATCGTAGAGCTGGTAACCCCACTGGTTTGTTTGTTGATTACCTGTATATATTTGTGAATGTTTAACTGTGTTTTAGTTTTTTGGAAGTCATAAAAGTGAGCTTTGGGAGGATTTATACTTTACCAGATTTTCTTTCACTTCTTTCAAATGCCACATTTTGAAAATCTTCTTCATCAACTTTTTTTATTACAAGTGCAAAAAAAACTGCAAAGCATATTACCTGTCAAAAATAAATCCAAATTTTAGAGAGATATTAAATCTAATGCAATTATTGTTTATGTGTGTTCTTTAAATGAAGATTTTGCCAACCAGAACAATATGTTAAGTCAAATGCTAATGTTTTAGGCCAGTGAAAAATATATAGAGAAAATATATTAATGCTCACCTTCAGTGGCTGAATAAAGAGAAGACTTTGAAAGAAGGACACAACCATGGATACCAACCAGCTGATGGAACGCTCCTTCCCAAATTTAAGTCCATACAGCATTGTGAAATATCCTGATACAAAACTGGTTCCAATTATCAGCAGCCAGCCAACAAAGATAAACCACCAGGGTAGCAAACCCTTACGCTGCTGCTTTTTTTTCTGACCGCCATCCCTTGATATGCCATGCTCAGGATTAGACCTGCAATTGGAAAAGAAGAAAAAAAGATGTTGTTAAGGATGAAATTTCAACCAAAAATATTTTGCTTAATTCTTTAGCTACATTAGAGGAAAAACAATGACAATTCCTAATAAACAATCACAACAAGTAGCAGTACTGTGAGATGCAGTGAGATGTAGTGTGTACTGTTATGAAAGTACTTTTTTCCTGCTTACATTGTCTAAAAGCTATCAAATTAGCATAAGTATAGTATATAGGAATATTTTTAAGAAATAATAACATGAAACTAACATTGTGTTCAGTTATTTTCAAATTGGGTTTTGTTGAGGATATTATTTTACTCCACTAAATTAATGATTACTCAGCTGTTGTGGTTAAAACAGCAGAGCTAAGCATTCTTTCAAATAATAATACAATAAGAAATGTCCAAAACCAAAGAGAATGAAAAAAACATATTTAAATATGTTGAAATCTGTTCATTTTCATTCCTCATTTAGGGGGATATGTTGCCATTCAATCATGGAAACACATGGCACAAAAAACCATGCACACATAAACTAACTCCTAAAGGCATTTTATTGAGACCCATTTTGGATGGATCCTTTTTTGGTAGGAGGGGCCATGCAGGAAAGCACAGAAACAAGGAATTAATTCCTACAAGTCTCAGGGACATATAAATAATTTAGCACTTTGATAATTAATCTTAACATAATGCCCTCCTAAAACAAAACATGACTTTGTCATCATCTCATTATAGTTGAAGTATTGGGACTTATACATTTAAATTATAAAGAAGACTGAACTAAACCTCCACTAGCAAAGTTAAACATACACCAGACGGATTTTTCTGTCAACTTATACACTACACTCTAGTTATTAGCAATGTTAAAACTCAAGAGAAAAAAGCCCAAAGGTTCATGTCTTATATGTACTTCTCATGTATGGGTTCATTTTGATCCACATGGCTGGATGTGAAAAGCTGTTGTTCAAGGAGGCTCTTCACCGCCTGGATCTGGTGCTGAGCCTTATCCAAACTGTATGGACTAGAGAAGCTGGACGGGGCTTCCACACTCAGCTGCTCTTCAAGGTGACATATTTGTCTGTACAGATGCTGGGTTTTGTTGCTCTTCTTTTGAATGTCTTCAGCTGTTGAAACAGGAAACAAAAATTTAAAGAAATCCTACACTGGAGAATGTTCTGTGAGCAAAAACTACTTGGATGTTTTTTTTATTTTTCTGAAATGTTTAGCGCACACTGTTCGGTGCTTACAAATTAAAAATAGATGGTTTTGCACAAATGTAAAAAAAAAAACTTAACAGCAGTGGGGCCAAAGTCCAGTCCTCAGGAACTAGCCTGCAGCTATTACATGTTTTTCTTTCTCCAACAAATCTGAATGAAATGGGTGATTTTTTTCCCCCTCAGCTTGTCCTTCAGCTCCAAAGATCCCTGGTCACAAGCCATTTATCTGATTTATGTGTCTTGGAGCAGAGGTCTAAAGGTTTCAGAATGGTATCTCTGGGACTGGAGTTGGCCACCTCTGTTTCTCGTGACCTAAATAACAGGATCACTGTCAGAAGAGCAAGACTCACCAGATAGTTGAGACGGTGTCACTGTCTTGGTGTCATTGCTGCATTTGGTATTCTGTTTGAGTAATTCTTCCACCTCTGTAAGAACAGTATTAATGTCACTTTCTTTTCCGGGCCCAGACTTGTTGGATGGGTCTGTGTATTTGGTTGTCTCAGAGAGTGATTGAAGGATTCTTGCAATATCCTAAAAGTATGAACACAAGATATTGTTATATGCATGTAAATAAAACTGGAAAAACACAATGTGTTTTTGAAGATAATCTGTACTATAAGCTTAATTTTAATTTCTAAGATTAAGTTTTAAAAGCACTTAAATTCATTGAACAGTCACACATTTTATTGAGTTATAACTTTAGGTTTGAATGTATTTATTAAGATTTTGATTAATACGTGTACTTATGAAGTGGATTTTAAGGATAGTGTACATGGTTTGCATATTTATAACCAAATAAAAGTCCAAAAACTATTACCTTTATTTGTATTCACACTGCGACAAATCATGTTGGCAGTATGCAAATAGCCATATAAGGCGTACAGAAATATGAGGATGAAGGATCAGATTAGACTATAGTTAAAACTTCATGCCCAACATATAAAAAATAAACACTACACATCACCCTCTAATTTCCATAGTAACGCATGCTGGGGGTAGCATTCCGCGCTCAGGATGTCATAGATTGGGAAGTGAGTCTGAGGTAATGAGAATGGATGTAGATGTTATGTTATTTTTACTTTTTTCTTATCTTATTGTGTTGTGACTGTCACTATGTGTAAAGCTGCTGCTACACTGCAATTTCCCAGCTTGGGATAAATAAAGTACATCTATCTATCTATCTATCTATCTGAAATATAGGAAGAAATTGTTTCATAGGCTGCAAGAGATTGGAGACATACAGCCAGAGCAACAATAACATTATTTAGTTCAAAGCATGTGCTAAAATTAAACAGTCAAAATCCAGTTCCAGCTGTTTTCAACAGATTTGCAGCTATGCTCGAAACAAAGGTTATTTTCAGGAAAAACGAACATCCACCCGATCGTCTGCACTCTGTTATGTGTGTACATTAAACACAGCAGCATGCTTGAAAATAACACCGGTTAAACTTTTTTCTGGACACCATGAGCACGAAACCACAATTAATAAAGATATAGCAACTTATTAAATCAGAATTTAACAGTGCCTTGTTTCACTTCTTATTTTATATCAAAATCCTTCCCATTATGAGGTCATTTGGGGAAATACTACTCTCTCCATCTAAGCCCACCCTCTAGCAGGCCCTACTGTATCTCTCTGTAGAGCATCCAACTCGAGCGTTCATATTGATTGCTATGCTAAGATCTAAGCACAGCAGCTACTCTGTTAAAGGCAGCATCAACCAGACAAAAGTCTTATTTACGGCCTTCATCTGATCCCCTGTAAACTCAGTGGAAGGATTTTATTTTTGATGGAAATTTTGCATCGGCATGCTGAGCATTTCAATGGATTTTCATAACATGGGTGTTAAAACAGCAGGTTTCTCTACACCGGAAATTGAAGAGTGGATTGATATTCACTGTATGGTACATGACTTTAATGTGTTGGGCTGCTTACTGATGGCCTGTTAACAGGTTAGTACTGCAGCTAACGCTTGTCTGCTTGGCTGTTTTGATAAGCCGGCGGTTGATGGGTTTGAGAAGCATAACGTCATGATGATTGTACCTTACAACCACCATTGATTACCGGACGTTTAGTTTAACCCTGTGGTGCTTCCCTTCATACCAGAAGGGATCTTTCTCATTTAAAACTTAATGAGCTTAAATGATACAAAGAGAAAATCTGTTATTGGATGCTATCCATATGAAATTCCTGCAGAATTCTTTTCAGCACCTTTCTTTCATTTCACAGGTCTCCAGATTTTACCTCTTACGATTAAATCATATATCTTATACACAACCTGTCCTCATGAACTTGGAAAAGTCTGAAGCTGTTAAAAGCACAGATCCTGATATGTATTTTACAGCTAGCTGCATCATTGACCGGAAAATATGGTATCCGAAAAACAGGAAGATATTTGTATATAAAAGCGAAGGTAAGTATTCTGCTGATTTTTATGCTTACTTCATGTAAACAGCCAAACACAAATTGAATACATGTAGCAATATCTTCAGATCTTATTATCAAATGCACTTCTTCACAAAGTGTCTAATCAGTGTAATCTAATCACTTAATTTTATGATAAAAATGTGGAAGACATTAAATCCAGTTGGCAACAGCTCCCTCTCTTGTTTTGAAACTCACCTGATATAAAATGTACACCAGACAGATGGCTACTTGCAGTCAGCATTCAGTTAGCATTTCTGATTGCTGTCAGCCATCTCAATTCGTTTTTGGTGAGCGGTAAAAATAAAAATATATCAGTGACCTTTTTTACTGTCACACCCGATGGCACAACATATGGAGGGACTATTTTACGGGCAGGGGACCAGAGCAGGTAGTCAATATGGCATCGGCTAGATTCAAATGTTTGTGACGTCAGCTGCAAGGCATCGATAAGATGGGTAATCTTCTCTGTGCTTCACAAAAAGTATTTTCTTAACAGGATATTTGCAGTAATTCTGATTGTGCGCTTATATAACTTTTGTTAGTAGCTGCGCTTTTAGTACATGACAGCAGACAGATGCAGTAGCACCTCAGGCTAACTGGCTGGAAAGATGTACTTGTTTGTTTGTTTATTGAAACTTGTTTACAGTCTAGGGTTTCCAGCCGTCCCTTAAAAAACGCTTAAAATGCTCTGTACTTTGTATTGAGATGATTAAAGCTAGATTTGTCTGTTTGCGATGAAATAAAAAAAAGTGTATTATTGTTGTTATCATAAATGAAGCTGGTCCTGTTGTGTATTGTTGTATTTATATGCTGACCAGAGCACTCTTTAGCAGTTCATCATTTAAGGTCAGCCATTGTCTTCTGCTTAATCCACTCTCCTAGCCGCTATAATTACAAACACACTCGTTGTCATGGTAGCGGGTTGTGAAGGCGTGGTCTTCGGTCGGAAAGGGGCGTGAGGAGTTTTTAGTTCACATTTTCTATCTAATCTGAGAGGAATTTTCCTGCCCAAAATGGCAAAAACATGCTCTGGAGGGCTAGTTGTTAATAGATTTTTTTTTCAAATGCATGAGACCTTTAAGATGGCCAGATGTATTACATAAAGTTCAATGAAAAGGAACAAAGCACTTGCTTTTATGAGGATGTCCATAGTGGAGCTTTCATCGTTGCTGTTGGTGCTTGTCACTTGCAGAGAAACCGTGTGGACACCACTCTTTTTCTGGAGGCGATTTCTTTTCTTTTCTTTGTTTTGACAACAGGAAGTCTCTCGAGGACGAGTGTTTCTGAAGACGCTGACTATGAGGATATTTATGGGAAACATGATGAGGGAACTCTGGACCCCAATCATGAACTGCTGCCAGGTGAACTCAAAGTGACCTGGAAAAACAAATCTTATAGAGATGAGTTTGATTCATCTTTCGATCGTTCCTTGAGGTTGAGTAAAGTATAAATAAAACTAGATGTACCCAAATCCATGACCTGGTCGGAGGGGTCTGTTGGGATTCCGTAAAACATGATGCTGGTCAACATGGTGCAGAGCAGCAGGGAGAAACAGCAGGACACTCTTTGTACACAGGTGAAGGTGCTGCTTGGTGGTCGACTGATCACAGAGTACCAAAGGTGACCATCACTAAAATCCTTTGCCGTTTTCATGAAGAACAAATTACTGGAAGATAAAATCAGTCATGTAAAGTCTAAACATTGCAAAACCCTGATAAACCCCCAATTAGAACAGGATTAATGTCATTTTCTAATCTCTTTTTCTCACAACAAAACTTTCGGTGAGATTATCTGCTTTCTGGGATTTTAAGAATAAAGGAAAAGCCATAAACCCTTTTTAAGCTCAGCATTTCGATTCTATAGTGAAGATGAGAATATTACTGCTATTTTTTATGTATAACAACATAATCAATTAAATAAATACTTGTTACCTGCAGTTGAGTTAAATTGCAAGAATTAAAGTAATAAAAAGATTATACTAACTTATGGCCAGTGTGGATGGAGTCTTTAATTTCATCAAAACTTACGTTCACCTTTCACAATATGTTAGTTATCCTAAAACAGCCTATTTTTATTTTTTTCAGAAATGCTAATATTCTCATTAGCCAAGAAGCTGGCTTCACTTGTAAAATAGTTTTTTTTTTTAAGTGCTACATTTCAAAAGGCCTCATTTGGTCTCCATTCAATATATTTGACTTTTCTTCAAACTGATAACCAAGCCTGCTATTGCATCTGATTTACATTTGATTTGAACTCTAATCATTCATATCCAATGGAAAATAGGATCCTATAATTCACTTTCACTCTGTTGACTAATACTGTGCTTGTATATATGCAATTGTGCTCTTCAAAGTAGTACTACACTGCTGCCTTACCTGAATTTCTTCAGGTCCATCTCCGTGGAAACAGGGAAGAGTTTATCTAGACAGCAATCACCCATGTCTATTGCAAGCCAGGAATTGCATAGAAAGTACCATTTCTCTTCTGTCTGTAAATCCTGAACCAGGATGTTGCCAACAAACCTGAAGAAAACAGCAAACATTTAATTTTATATCATGAAAACATGCCTCTAGCAAATTTTAAAGCTTTACATTTCAGTCCAGAAAGTGGTGCAATATCACAATATAGGTTTATCAGGATTAGAACATGTGGACTTTTACTGGAGTTTAACCATTAAATCGACTTATGGCCGATATCAAGCTTGAAAGGACCTGACTAGTGACCAGGTGGTCAGAAACTGTAATTTTGTTGTCAGTCTAATGTTAGTACACTAATGATTAAAATGTCTACATGTAATTAGTTGGAATATTCAAGCTGAGAGTGTCGCTGCAGACAACCTCTGGTTAAGATGGAAGCTCCTTGTTCTGGAGTTGGTAAAAGACGTCCACATAAGAACAACTAATTGTCTATTAAGGTTGGCCACAGGGGTGCATCGATGATTGGTTAAGGGTGGAAATGGCCACCGCTAGCCCCTCATCTAGCAATGCTTCTGCAGCCTGCATTAAATATAGATGTGCAACCAGGTGCTGTATATTGACCTAAACATGTATTTAATACATCTTAAATCAAACTAATAATTTGGTCAAAAGTTATATAGTTTTGCTTTAACAAAGTATAGATTTATACAGAAAACATCTGCTTTCACAGAAGCAGCTTGATGATTAAAAGCTAATAGTACATTTTATTAGTAGCAGCTTCATGGTCATCAGAAATGTGAGGAAAGAAATTTGGATGTAATAGTTTTTGAGGTTTTTTTTGCTTTATTATTTACACATTAATATTACTCTAACTTTTTTTGTAGGTTCAATGTTAAAATTTAGTCTGACCTCATCATAGCAAATAAAACCTGGATAGAAAAGGAGACCCAGGTTCATATCCCAGTTGCACCAGGAAGGGCATTCAACATAAAAACAGTCAAATCTGTCTGCAAATTATAATGACAGCTGGAAGGACTCCCTCACCTACTGTCCCTTGCCAATAATTAGCCATCTCATATTATTTCAATTCCAATGCTGCATTATGGTTTGGATTTGTCTTTTTTGCCATATATTCTGGATAAAATGAAATATTTGTTTTTTATAGAAGAATTTCAAAATATTGGCAAAGACAAATCATTTTTATTCTGTCCTAAAAGCTTGAATGTATTTGTTTTCAGAGAATTTACTTTCTTTCTGTTATGATTTACTTTTCCAAACAAGTTGTTTTTCCAATTTATATCTGAGTCCATTCTACTGTTATTCTGTATTACACTGTATGGCAGTAAATTCCATCTTCAAACACAGTAATTCTTATAAGCATTTAGCATTTTTGTGTTTCTTAAATATTTTTGTGCTCTCTCACCAAGCAGGATGACTCCCAGAATTGTTGTGCCACAGTCTGATGCCCTGCAGCTCACCCAAACAGGAGGGTGTAGTCAGCAGGAACAAATCCACCGCTCCCCTCTCAAACACAGGCTTCTTTGGATCAGTCAGGTGGTGAGGCTTACTGTTTCCGTCTGCGCCAAGGAGAGTGACTATAACCTAAAAAAAAAAAAAGGAAATACTTTGTTTTAAAAATGAACCTTTACTGAACATGAAGGGCTGTGGACACTACATACAATACATCCTGTGAAGATGTGGCTAAATACATGAATATGTAGTTTGTGTATCCTTATCTGGAAAAAAAGTGCAAACCTTTATTTGCATATTTTTTATTAAGTAGCATTAAAATATAGCTACAGCACAGGTGTAAATTGATGTATATTTTGAAGAGTAATCTGAACAAACTCAGTGGCAAAAGATCCTATAAAAGGAAAACATTGTTTTAACAAATTTATCAGTGCAGCAATTCCTGGCATCCCAACCAAACTGTAACTTAAATACAAATATTTTAAGTTACATCTAAGTTACAAAAAAGCCCTTTTTTATCAGAATAATTCCCTAGAAATCTATTGCTGTCCTTTGCTGTAAGCACTGTAGGTTGTTAGTGGAAGTATCAAATATTTCATGGACATTTAAAGATAATATAGATATAAAGTTTGGACCTACCCTCTAACCCTGGTGTTTATATTTGTCTGATGCAGAAATTTGTCTGTGCAGCTTTATAATGTTTGGCTGTGTTTCACAGATATAGAAAGCTTAAATTAAACGGAAACTGATTGTTGGCTGAATGTTTGGGAAACAAGCAAAAAAGCACAGAAAAAGGACTTGTTTACATGATTGCCTGAAGGCAACAAAGTTAGTTTCAGAATATTGCATAATTAGCACTTTGATGTTATGTTTTAACTTGATCTGTAACTAGTTTAGTAAAAAAAAAAAAGACTTGAGATTTAAAAGATATAATCTTATAAACCTTTAGTTTTTTTTTTTATTCAAATAACCCATACATATATTCATAATATTCTTTAATCAAACATACTTAAATGACCTCACTAACTTCTGTAGTTCATCAGATTTTGGCAATAATAATTTTTTTGTTCTGCATATTCGTACCCTCATAGTTTTTGCAGCTGTTATCCCATTCAGGTGAGATAAGCATTATTTGAAACTTAACTGATAGCGATTTGATGTTTGTTTATTCTGAATAAATGCATTTTTATATATTCTACTACCTGAGAAGATGTGGAGGCTCCCATTCGATGCCCAGTGCAAACACACAACAGATAGCGGTAAGTATCCGTAGGGTCGTTGTCCTCAAGAACTGTTCCCTTCACCTGCAGATGATAAAAGAAGCATACGGACTACCATCTAATCCATCTGTCCATCCTGAACTCTGATATGTTTTGTTAAGCTGGTTTTACTTGCTTATCTGGACCATAATTCCCACAAGAAAGTATGTAGATTCTCTGAGCAGGCAAATATTGTAAATTGTATGATCCAAAATGACACCAAAACTAGACTTGACATGAACAAATTATGAATTAAAGTTGCTGGAGAGAAGCTTTACCTTGACTGTGTCTTTAATGTCTTTTCTTCGTGCCAACACAACCGCAAGGAGGTAGGTCGCAAACAGAGCCCCGACAAAGCACACGACCACGGGATTCTCAGCAAAGGTTGCAAAAAGCTCAGCAGTGCGTGAAGGATCGACAAGATTCGGAGTCACAAAAAAAGAGCTCCCAAAAAATGTGAGGTGATTGCAGAGACACTGGGTGACTAAATTTGTGGTCTTCACACCAACCTTGAAGAACAAACAATTTTTACTATCATAAAGAATGCTAAAAGCTGTCTCTTTATAATAAATGATTATCCTTACTCTGCAGCCAGAATCCTCCCAGTCCAACAGAGTTTCATTCCAAAATTTGCATGAGGATGTGATGGGGGTAATAGATAATGTGGCATTGATAGATTTTATACCTGGACCAACAATTGGTTTAACCACCAGATAATGTAACCCAGAGTTTCCCTGAAAAGTTGTAGGGCTAAGTAGCCATGTATATCTTTCTTCTGTATCAGACACAAAAATAAATATTAAGTTACCTAAAATTTAAATGATAAAAATAGAGGAAAACACTGATTACCTTCAGTTGTTCCTGGAAGAGGCATCTCGGTCATTGCTACATAATTGGTGTCAGTGGGATAATCCATGTAACCAAGGAAAAGTTTAAAGGGTAGAGGATCTTCTGAAGGCACCATCTTTAAAACAAATAGTGAATTTAGATGCTTTAATATTATTAGCAGTGCTGAGATCTAAATGCATATGTAATTACAATGTCTTTCTAAAAGTGAACTTTTTCACATTTTGATAGCATAAAGAAGAGACTTTTATGTTTTAAACAAATAGAAGACATATATTTAAGAAAGGTTGCTCTGCTCCTCAGCTCTAAATGTGTTGGGAGCTGGAGAAGTTCCA